GCTCGAAACGTCAGCTTTTATAATCGCAACGGTGGCCAATTTACCATTTCAACGTTGTTGATATATTCAAATTATGATATATGTCAGTGTTTGCTTACTACAAATAAGTACAGCTGCAATAACATTTTTTTAAATATTATTTTTAGTTTTTTTCTTGTGACATATTTTATTACTGCTCACTCTTGTTTAGGTTCAAACAGCCAAGTTAGCCCTCAGAAGACTGAAAACCCTTCGCCATCCTAATATTGTGAGATACATTGATGCTCTTGAGGTGAGCAAATACTGCAGAATTTTATAAAGTACTAAGTTTCGTCCAGTTATCAACTTGAAGTACAATACCAGTCAAAGGTCCAGAGTCATCACTCAAATACAGATATGGTATTTATTGAACCAGTAAGACATGACACAAAATAAACATAAGAGGAAGACAGAGTCAAATTAAAAAACATTGCACTCCCCCATGCAATTTGGTTAGCCTCTGAAAATTTTTCACATGCATACTTATCTTAAATTGCACTTGAAATCATGTGATTATCAATACAAACCATTGAATTCATAGGTTTGTGATAGGTGTTAGATTCAAGCAGTATCACTTATGTTGCCATTTCTGTTTACTTTACAGTCTGATGCAGTTATTTATCTGGTAACAGAGCCTGTTCAACCATTAGAAGTGCTACTAAGTGAAGTTGAGAGCTCCAAGGCTGATTTAGCCATTTCGTGGGGAATACACCAAATAACGGTATGTTTACTCACAGTATGGTGTATTATTGAATACATTTAACTGTGGAAATGCAGCATGTTACTGCTGTTTCTCTGGTGTGTGAGGGGGGGGGAGGGGTTGGCAACCACTGTCCAAAATTGAATATCAATTCCTTCTGTCAATATTTGTTGGCAAAATTCCTTAGCAGGTGGTGGTTAGCATCCTTTGTGCCTTACAGTGTACATTATGATATGATTTATGCTGATCAATAATTGAATTTCCTTAACAGCTGGTCATACCTGTTTTTATTTCTTAATTACTGTCAGTGTTTCTTTCCTTTTTTAGGCTGGTCTCAGTTTTCTGACAAATGATTGCAGTTTCATTCATGGTAATGTGTGCATGGCATCAGTGTTTGTAGATATTGCAGGCGAGTGGAAGCTTGGTGGTGTAGATTACCTTAAACCTGTTGATCCACCTTCAAACACTGAAGAACCTGATCTACCTAGACTGCCAGTTTTACAAGTTTATGAACCTCCAGAAGGAAGGAAATATAGTAAAGGCAACAAGAAGGCTGAGAAATGGTGAGACATCAGAATAAGGTTCACTTGAAGGAACATTCAGCTGTGTAGTTGTTTATTACTAGAAGTGTTAATGGATACATCAAAACATGTGATCACACTGGAGAAATGTTTCACCCATCCAGACTTGTTGATCTACATATCCTGTTTGAGGAACAATATTCACTGTCTTATTACTGTTTTGAAAAAAGGCCTTTTTAGATGGTTTTCTAATTGGTTGAGCACATATGATACATGTAAGCATGTAAATTTGTGTGCAGTCATCCTTGTAGCAAGCCCTAGGATTTCTCAGTAACATTCCTTTCCAGTAATGTGTCGTTACCATGCTCGAGAAATAATGGAACCGAAAAACAGCTTCCCATTGACATATTAACCCTAATACTGTAACAACATTTATATCAAAATGGGTTCCCATGAATTTTGACAGATCCCAAAAAAAGTTGCTGTAGTCTTGAACCATGCAATGCACATTGACAGACTTCCTTGCTGAAAGTCCAGTGTGAATTTCACAATGGTCAGGATTTACAAGAATTTGCATATTTTGTCACGGCTGTTTCTTTTATATAATATATTCCACATTCAGTGCTTGCAATCTGTTAAAGAAAATTTTACCACTGTGATGGTTCAGGCATATGATTCCATGTGCTGCTCCTCTCACACATAGAACAGGTACAAATGAAAAAAACTTTTCGTCATGCAGTAAACTCTAATTTGGACATCAATCCTTGAAATTATTTTTAGTTATTATTCAATCCATACTTTGCATTCTACAGGTCAGCAGATATGTGGGGTCTTGGATGTCTGATCTGGGAAGTCTTCAATGGTCCATTGTCCAGGACAGGTTCCTTGAAGTCTGTTGGAAAGATTCCAAAGAACTTGGTTACAGACTATGTACAACTTGTAGGTGCTAATCCCAAGAGCAGACCAAACCCAGCAAAATTCCTACAGGAATGTCGAAATCCAGGCCATTACTTGAAAAACAGCTTTGTTGACACTAATTTGTTCTTACAAGAATTGCAGGTTTGCTTTTCATATTGTAAGATAGTTTTTTAGTTTTTATGTGAGTTATGTTTATATTTTATTTTTCTTGTAACATCTAGCATCTTTCACAGTTACCATATTTACCTGCATATAGGTTGCACTTTTTTGACAAAAAACCACCTTGAAAGTTTGCAGTGCAGCCATGGGTACAAGAGTTCAGAGCTCATTAATATGCAAAGTTTCCCAACACAATAATCAACAAACTTCCTCAGTTATTCACAATTTTATTCAATGCATTGTACAAGCTTACGTTAAATTAGTCCATATCTTCCAAGAATTTTCCCTCTCTCGGCTGTAATAAGTTTGTTCAGCTTCAGAACATGTTTCTTATTTGAAGACATCCATTGTAATTTGCGTGGAATAGCCATTCCTTCTTGAGGACCTTGCGAGTGAACCCTCTTTCCAGTCACTTGGCAAGAAATCTCTCCACCGTTCTTAATAAAATAAGAAGCAATACGGCTGAATTCTGCCAGCAGGTGTCCCACGAGTTTATTTCCAGTTGAATTGGTCTCATAAATTGGGGGTTTCCAGGTGTTTCCATATACATGATATCCTCATATTTCGCTTTTCATTTCATANTTTTTCAAACATTCTCTGCTTGTCTGCAGACACTTCACAGAAATGAAGTAATCTATGTTTGCCATCCACATATGAGGAATTGTGAATAAAGAACTATATATATTTAATTTTAAAGATGGCAATGGTAAGAAAGTAAATCTTACTTTGAACAGAGGTCCCAAGACAGCAGAACCAGCTGATCCATATTCATAAGCATTCAGCAACTGAGGAAGAATTCTGTGCTTGCAATATTGTTGAGGAAATAAGTCTAGTGATGAACTGAGAGACTGAAAGAATTCCTTCTGTTCTTTTTGTTCCTTTATCTAAACAACAAAAGTCAACAACTTAGGTAAACATCATGAAAAAGGCAACACCATTCAAAGCTTATATTCACTAAAACTAGAGAAAGTACATCAGGAATATGCATATTTAACTTTATCTATTAATTCATCTTATGATTTATCTAATGTTTATCTAATAGTTAATAATTTGGATATATCAACAAAGTTGAAATGGTAAATTGGCCACCATAACGACTACAAAAGCTGATGTTTCAAGCGTTAGCCCTTCGTCTGAGCGAATAGAGGAATTGTGGGTTGTGTGTGCTTTTAAAGGCAGAAAATGGAGCTATGTTATGGTGGCCAATTTACCATTTCAACTTTGTTGATATATCCAAATTATTAACTATTAGATAAACATTAGATAAATCATAAGATGAATTAATAGATAAAGTTAAATATGCATATTCCTGATGTACTTTCTCTAGTTTTAGTGAATATAAGCTTTGAATGGTGTTGCCTTTTTCATGATGTTTACCTAAGTTGTTGACTTTTGTTGTTTAGATAAAGGAACAAAAAGAACAGAAGGAATTCTTTCAGTCTCTCAGTTCATCACTAGACTTATTTCCTCAACAATATTGCAAGCACAGAATTCTTCCTCAGTTGCTGAATGCTTATGAATATGGATCAGCTGGTTCTGCTGTCTTGGGACCTCTGTTCAAAGTAAGATTTACTTTCTTACCATTGCCATCTTTAAAATTAAATATATATAGTTCTTTATTCACAATTCCTCATATGTGGATGGCAAACATAGATTACTTCATTTCTGTGAAGTGTCTGCAGACAAGCAGAGAATGTTTGAAAAAATATTTGTGTCAAACATGTGCAGTGTAGGCACAGTTTTTAGATCATAATGGATGGAGGTGCCAGTACCACCAATACTTCCTTCTTGTCAGCTACAGCATGTAAAAGTCTAAGTGTAGTTGTTGTGGTTCAAATTTAATCTTTGGTTTGAATTTTTTTAAACCAGTCTAAATTTTTTAAACTGGTTTGAGATTTTCAAACTGGTTAGTAATTTTTAACACTTAACTCTTTCTTATTTATTTGTACCTCTCCTTGTAAAATACAGTGTAAAATAAACTCACATTTTAGTCATTTTAGTGATTAGGGTTAAGCATTTATTTCAAATGGTTAGCTTTCGTGTAAGGTTAGGGGTAGCATTTGGCACCCAGTTTTGTTACTGGGGTTAAGTGCTTTATTTGAATGGTTTGGGTTATGGTTAGGGTACGATTTCATGCAAGCCCTTAGTCGAATGAGAAATACTTGGCTTTGGTGACAACATTAAATGAAAATTATTTATTTTTTGGCACTCCTGTAAAATAATATTTTACTTGCAGCACAACGAAATAGAATATTTACAATTCATCTACCATTTAACTAACAAAGTCAAGAAAACATTGAAGTTATTCTTGAGCATTTTTGGTCAATTTACATGCACCAGTGAAAGAAATATCTTTTTCATAATCAAGTTTTACATTTGTTGCTGTACATGGGAAAAGTCTGGAAGGGGCAATGAACCCTTTAATGCAACCAAAAGGTGTCACCACTTTCACATAATTATTTTCAATTTCAAGCACTTTTCCCAGAAGTAAATTTGGGTGGAAAGGAGATTTCTTGTCCACTCTATCTATTTTAATTGAAACCATGTCATGAACTTTGTACACTTTCTTTCTTGGATTACTTCAGACTGTTTTATCATTTTGGTATTGTAGGTTTCCTGTGCTTCTTGAATTTCTTTTCTTTTCTGCTTTCCTGGGCATTCTTCAAGATCATGGTCTAATAGTTCCCTTTTGGCCTTCATTTGAAACACTGCTTCATATGGTGTCATGTTGATAGCACGATGATAAGTAATGTTCATGATGTAGGATGCTTGCATTGTGTACTTGCACCATTTGAAAATTTGGAGACCACATGTGCTCATTATCAAGCTTCTCATGTTTTCTTTGAATGTATGATTTGACCGTTCCACCAGCCCTTGAGTTGTCGGAGTCCTGGCTGCTCCGTGGAGAAGTTGGATCTGATTAGTGCTACAAAATGCTTTCATTTTATTGTTTTCAAATTCACCTCCATTATCTGTTAAAATTTTTTTGGGGTAGCCATAAGTTAAACAATACTTTTGAACTTCATTCAGTACTTCATCAGCAAGTTTGTTTTGGATGGGGTGAACATTAACAAACTTTGTGTGGTGATCAATAATATTTATAGTCCACTTGTGCTTTGGTTCACATTCACATGGGAAATTTCTGAAATCCATAAGATCAACTTCTTTCAAGGAAAGGAATGTTTCCGCTTGAAGAGGACTTACCACGGGTTTCACTGTGGTGGTTATGGGTTTTTGCTCTTCGTGAAAACGGCAAAGAGAAACAAAAAGTATTCACAACTTTCTGTGTTACTCCGGAATAATTCTCAACAATCCATTTCTCAGTTTTTTGTCGTCCTCTGTGAGCAATTCTATTGTGGTATTTAGAAAGCATATCGAAGAGCATTCCTTCATGTGCAACTTCTTTAGAGGTTAATAACTTTTCATTTGCATATTTCCACTTCTTTCACTTGATGGTGTTGATTTTGTGCCTTTGAAAGCTCCGGTGTTTTGATCGAAGGTGCAATGTCAAGCTCTTGTTCTGTGACTACTTTGAGATAACTCTTCACTCGATGGTAGAACTCTTCGACAAACACATTTACTGATGATTAATTTTGTTTGTCTTTAAAGGCTCTTTTAAGCCTTTAATTTTGGCTTCAAACGTTTCTTTAGAAACACAATTGGCAATTTTGTCAAAGGCCTCCATGCCTCACTTGCTAGAAATGGGCACGTGCAGATTTGTGTAATATAATTATGCAATATGAATAAATAACGATTTTGATGGAGAGGAGCCTGAGACGAATAAGTAATAATAAGAGAAAGAAATAAGAGTGAAATTGCAAGGATTGCTTGCGTGGTCTAGTGGATAAGGAAGAGTACTGCAAATCCAAAGGTTGGGAGTTCAAATCCTGGTGAGTACTAAGAGATATAAAGAAAGGGAAAAAAGGTGTAGTTAGATATTATGGGGGGTTAGATGAAAGGTAATGAGAGAGGTTTGGAAAAAGTAGATTCAGGAAGGGAATGACAGTATAAGGAGGGAGGGGTGGTTGTTGAACTTAAAAAAAAACTGAATAATGAAATTTTCTTATAAACACAAGTTCTTTTTAAGAACCCCCCCAAAAAGCCAAGCCCCTATTTTTCAACCACACCCCAGAAAGGGAAGGCCCTTTTTCAGACAGAAGTGGTTTGATGAACTTTTTATTCATGTGCCAATTATAAAATAGTAATAAAACCACTAAGTAAGGACACAACACAACAAGATAATTTAAATAAAATAATAAATAACTAAGTATTAATATACGATTAAATAGCATAAAATATACGAATAAATAGCATAAAATTTGTGGTCAGCAGAATTAGGCTAGGGGACCTTAAGACGTGTGGAGGGGGGGGGAGGAGGAATAGTTTGAGCCTAACTAAGATATAACTAAGAATCATGCACTGCAAACCAAGCAGCCCACACAGCCACCATCGTCCATTAACATTTCCAAATCCATTCCTCTAACTGCCCTCTTAAAACCCGCTAGTGAATTCAACGTCCTAATACGGGAAGGTAGCTTAGCCCATAGCACAGGTCCTAAATACCTAAGGGAATGCCTGCCATAATTAATAGAGTTAAATCTTGGAATAGTAAATTCTTTAACTCTTAAGTTATACACTGTGTGATTTGCTGAAAATAAATCTTGTATATAGCTTGGTGCTAGCTTAAATTTTACTTTATACATGATGGTCGCTATATCTTGCAATCTACGGTTCACTAGGGTGGGCAATTTAGCCCATTCTAACAACTGCCTATAGTTAGCGTTCCAGTCACGGAAAACTGCCCTAAGACCCCTCTCCTGGACATGCTCCA